ACACCATTAAATGGGGTTCCACGGTTACAAACATTTTACTCATCGGTAAAGGCTTCAGGAACTAATTTGTTCTTATTTTTAGCTTTATCGAAGCCTATTTAAAAGTGTCAGGTTATCTCTGATAGCTGCTTTTTACCTTTAAATGTGGACACAGACCAGTTTGTGGTTTCTTTTGTCTTTTTGGAGTGCCGCTCGCTTACAAGCAATTCGAGTTCGCTTTCACTTAAACTCGCAAATCTCTTTGTAGGTGGCTCAAGAAATGAGAAATCAAATAATTTAAAGGATGGCATTTCTGTCTCATTTTCCCGAAATTTCGAAGACATTTCCATATTTCCGGCAGAAGAGACTCCAGCCATTATTTAATGAAACAGTTTCCAACGAAACATTTCCTCACTTGGAAACATTTGCTCACGTCAGCAGCGTACACCCATGGGCAAATGGGGGACGCTAAATCGACCAATCAGAGCGCGCGCTTTAGTTTGGTTATGTTATAATAGACCTTTTGTTTTTCTACGTCCTCGTTTCTCTCGCCGTCGTGGTCTGCTTGAGGTCCCTCATAACTTTCAGCCAATACAGTCCTTAGCTCTCTTTAAAAGAAAAAAAAAACATCTTAAAATGGATGGCAACACTGATTATCGTTATAAATAGGTTGTTTGGAGTCCTGTTAGAGCCATTTGGCCTTACACTTGGAAGAAGTACTTGTGGCTTCGTTTCAGTTGCAATTTCCCGTCACATGTTTCAGGGAAGTCTGTGTTCTTGTAGCCCTCTTCTATTGTTTGATCCTTTATTGAGTATGGGCACTTGTACTCAACACAGGCATTCTGACAATTTAGTGTTCTGAGCCAGAAAAACTGTAAAAATAAACTCTCTGTACTAACTGAGCATGCTAACCTAGAACAAAGGACATGAAAGAAAAGACCCATCGAAGCGCGTCCGCCATTTTGTTTTGAGCAATGTCCTTGGCAGGGCTTCTGAGTCCAATCCACACCTAAAGGGCCGACAAAATCCAAGATATATATACATATATATATATATACATATATATATAAAT